ACTTTTTCATCACTCATTTTGAATCGATCAGAAAATAATGACACTGTGTCAAAAATAAATCTTTCTGCTCTGAATTAGATTGGCAAATGTCACATGTACAAAATGCAATTGGATTCACCTGTCAAGCTACACACTATTTTAAGTTACGCCATATCTTATCAATCCTTTAAAATTAATGCACACACCCAATACTTTAAATGATTTAGAAGTAAATTTATCAACAGTCAAACTGAGAATTGAAAAATATTTAAAACAAAATAGATAGAATTGAATAGAAAACATACTGAGAAAATGATTAATCTCCTTCAAAACTACTAGATGTAAGAATAAAATTATTTTGTATTTATCTAAAATATATTCAATAAACCACCAAGGCGAAGGAACGCTGTTCGGTGCAGTTATTATTATTATTTTTTATTTTATTTTTATTTATTATTATTAGTTTCACTGACATTAATTAATCGACATTTTCACTGAGGTATTTTCATTATTAAAATAAAATTGGTAAATTGGTCGGAATGTGGAATCCAAGTTCATTTAATCGGGAACATACATCTTAGCGTCATTTAAACCAGTTGAACTTTCGTGTGTATTGTTGGTGGTAGGAGGTTGCAATGGTGTTGTGTCATATGGTGCTGATGGTGCCGGTGGTGTATAAAACGATTTGTTTTTGCCACCTTGATCCATGGTTGCCAATTTATTCGAATTGCTTCCATCACCCGGGTAGGGGGGCGGTGGTACATACGAAGCCAACCTGGCTTCAAGATGCACGTTTTGGCTCAGATGTTCTGGGTATGCTCTGACACTATCTGGGTCATACAAATATCTATATTCATCTATTATACATGTGCATATTATGTGTGAGATGAAAAGTAAATGTGCCACAAAGCAAATCATTATGGGAGCCACTGCAAAAGATATATGAAAATACAATTAAACTAATTAAAAAAAAAAATGAGAATTAAAATTACCGTAAATTTCAATCCAAAATGCGGAATGAAAAATGAGACCAATTTGAACCGGAATAAGCCATATCATTTCTATCCATAAAAACCAAAGTCTTTTTTACCTATTCAAAAATTAAAAGTAAAAGAATTAATTTCACTCAATGTTTGTTTGATCAAAATTAGTGTACCTTCAATAAAGCGGGAATCGATAAGCCCAACAATACACAATTAATTACTGAAATTGAAAATAATTAAACATTATTTGCGAAATTTTACTTTTACAGGAAAATAGTTTTTCAATATTTTGACAAACTTACGAAGCAGAGTGATAACCAAAGACTTCCTTGGATCTTCGCTCTTAAATATATAAACAATAGCCTGAAAATTGTTGTTATGCAATAATAACATGATTATTAATTTTATTTATTCGCTGCTGTACACGAGATGTATAATTACAAAAAACTACGATAATCACGAATATTTGTAATATTTGTCGCTATATACCAAATTCGTACAAAACTGTGTTTATTTGATGTTTTTTTTTTTCAAAATCCGAGCCCCTAGCAATTGCCATTCAACATTTTACATTTCAAAAATTGGTAATTTCACTCCCATTAGCATGTCAATATTCTTGACAACCAATCAGAACTTGGCGACATCATCAGTTAATTCTTTAACACACAACATTCCACACTTCTATTGGTGAGATCTAAAAGAACGCAAGTGTGTTCGACTTTGTCGCAATAAAGCAATGTATGTTTTGCGCCAAGTAAATTTTGAAAAAAGAGAGTATGTATTACGGCTGAATCAGTTATTGGAAAAGGAATGCATGTTTCGCACCAGATAAATTTTGAAAAAAGAGAGTATGTATTACGGCTGAATCAGTTGTTGGAAAAGGGATGCATGTTTCAGTTTTGTTGGTTTGGATAAAAGAACGTAAGTGCCTTTGTTCTGGAAGTGGGCTTTGGTGGATCCTCAAGATCATCAGAACCGCTCCCAGTTCTGGAAGTGGACCCTCAGGATGGGCCAGGGCATTGTCAAAACATAGTCTGTTCCATCCTGAGGATCCACCAAAACCCACTTCCAGAACTGGGAGCGGTTCTGATGATCCTGAGGATCCATCGAAGCCCAGTTCCAGAAAAATCATCGTTAAACATGCATTCCTTTTTTAACAACTGATTCAAAATCACTTACTTTCCTTTTGCAAAATTTATTTGGTGCGAAACATGCGTTCCTTTATCAGCAACTGATTAAGCCGGAAAACATACTTCCCTTTTACAAAATTTTTTTGGTGCAAAACATACTTTCCTTTTAGTAAGACAGAATTGGCAAAACACATACATTCCTTTTCCAAAATTTAAAGCGAAAAAAAAAACATACGTTCTTTTAGATCTCACCCATAGACTTCTTTTTATTGTTCGGATCATTCGCTTTGATTGTTATTGACATCTTTATTCCTTCATTTGATGTGACAAACCCATTTTTCGTGTTTATCAAATCGTCTCAGAGAACTAATGATTTAATACCCCATCCAAATTCGACATCATCAAACACATTTGGATTAGCACAGTCTTCGATTGGAATTTTTTCCGTGCAGTTTCACAGTTAGCGATGCTATATGCGCTGGATTTGACTTTTCATCACAAAACAAGAATACACCAAGACATGCATTTGATTTATGAACATGTTTTTTGATGATAATTGTCCATGGATTGTCTTCAAATTTTAACATTAAATCGTCCAATTTACTATTCTAATTTTTGGTATCACCCATCATTGATGCCAACAAAACTCGATTTATATAGGGTAAAAAACACAAAAAATCCTGAACTTAATAAAATCTTTTGGAAAAATATTGAAGAAAAATATATGTAAATTTTTTCTTTACTCGACCAAGTTCACTTTTAAAATGAAATCAAAATGTAAAAGTCACACACCATCGATGAACTACATTGTCTTTAGAGTTATTATTTTTTTAAACGCTTAAGCAGTAACCACTCTTATATACATTTCTATTCGCATTATAGCTACGATTGCTACTGTGGGTTCTGCTAGGGGTTTGCATGTATTTTTATTGGATGATATTTGCGTATTATCGTTGCGTATTGGCATATCGGTGAAATATCGGTATATCTGTAAAATATCGTTAATTTTCGGGTATTTTTTGATACTTAATTGTTCTGGAAGTGGGTTTTGGTGGATCCACTGGATCATCAGAACCGCTCCCAGTTCTGGAAGTGGGTTAACGATCCTGAGGATCCACCAAAGCCCACTTCCAGAACAAAGACACTTCGCATATCGGCGAATATCGGTGGATTTTTGGCACAAAATAGTGAAATCGGTAAAGATTTGCATGATTTGTAAAAATTTGTATTATTTGTTATACTGTTGTTTATTCGTCGAATTCGTGAAACAAAATCTTACATGAAAACCCCTAGGGGTTCTGGGAATTTAAGCGAGGTATAAATGTACAATTGCAATCAATACAAAATACTCTCCGAAGTTAAAAAAAATAAGTAGAAGGGCACAAAAGATAAAAGAGGAATTTACAATTGCTTTAGGTGCAAAGGCAAAAAGCAGCTTTAGAGTTGTTAAATTTTTATGATATTATGTCGTGCAGATGTTGGAAATTTGGTATTTTTTAAATCCTTTTTTTACAGTAAATGGAGTTATAAAAAAGCGAAAGCATATCGACCAGTTTCAAAACAATCAGACAGGCCAAACCGTGGCCGAGATGTCAAATCACAAATGTCATTAGTTGTCCCTATCGAAATCTG